GGTAGCGGTGGAGGTGCGTCGAGCGGAGAGAAGAGAATGCGAAACGAAAACCGGGGAGCTGGTCGGCTGTTTGAGGGGCTTTCTGCAAGAGGCTGCTCTTCCAAAAAGTTAAAACGCTGCCAAGTTTTAGGTGACTTCGTGTTGCCCGTTTTCCCGTTAACGCGGTGGAGCGCTGAAGGCAGGGTGAAATGCGAACGGTACCCGCCTGGCTCCGGGGAGCCCTGGTCTTCAGCAAGCTGAGGCAGAAATTTCAGGGCCAAACGCTTGCTTGAAGCCTGCTGGCTTCTGCCCGTGCTCTGGTGGGAAGAGCATCGCCGAGGTGCTCCAGTGTGGCATCTCCTGACAGAGCCGAAAGAGGAAAAGGCAGCATGTGTTCCGCAGCGGGAAAGCGTGTCCTGTCACGGCAATGGATGGTGTTTTAGTCTTGCATCTTCTGCCCTTTCAAACAAAAAAAGTAAGTATGGACTTATCTTACACTGAAGAGTCCTGAGTGCGACCTGGGGCTTCGCTGTGCTGCATGCAGAGGTAGCGTTTGCAGACAGAAAGTAGTGGCAGGGTTTCACGGGTGCCGTGGTAGAGATCTCGGAAGAATGCGACGGACTTTGGAGAGTGAGATAAAGCATAGGAAAAAGAGAGTAAATGCCTTTTATTTTGAATCTTTTTTTTTCTTTTCCTGTTTGTGGGATTAACTTTTTCTTCGAAACCACACCCAAATAATACTTCACAGCTGAGGTTAGAGCGTAGGGTAGTGTGAAGACGCAATGAGTGGGTGTGGGTTGGCGGAAGATGAGGCAAATGCTTCTAGAGTAATTCAGAAGATTTTATTACAGCCTAAGTCACCCAGTGGCTCCAAGTGTGTGACGTTTCACCTTGTGACAGCATTAAGATGACAAAACTGTCCGGATTTTTGGCCCAAGGTTTATAGCGCTTGGGATGCTGTCTGCCGGCCAAAATGTCTCACAGCAACAAAGTGTTTCTGCTGTCGGATTTCAGGCAGGCACTCGTCAAGGGTTTTTCAGGTTGTGGTTTGTTTTCTTTTGTGAAATGTCTTTATTTAAAAAAAATGTTGGCTCACCAGACTGCACAGTTGACAATTGAAAAAATACCTGAGCTAGAATGCAGAAATGGATGTTGTAACGTGACTTCAGAAGTTTTCTCAAAACTTTGGTTATGACTTCAAGTTAATTAAGTGATTCGTGGCCCTTTTTGTAGAGTATTTGCCTTAGTAGCAGCGGGTCATATTGCATTGGAGTATTTTGTTACCTCAACTGAGCATAACGCTTATCTACTGTATTTCTGTGAGCAGTGGCTGGGGACAGTAGGAGCTAATGTTTTGGTTGAGGCTTATGTTGTTAAATCCCGTGAAATGAAAGATACAGCTTTTCATGTCAGCTTAAGCATGGGGAACTCCTGGGGTCTTTTCTTGGTGAAGGAGATGCTAGACTTTATTTGAAACTTGAGATTAAACTTGGGCAAATTGCTGTTCTTTCTCTTGGGTATCTGCATCTGATAAAGTTGAATGGTTTCAGATTGCCATCTGTTATTGGGCAGCTGTGTAAGTTTCTTACTGTAGCTGCCCGTCGCGTGTGCAGCAGTCGAAGGCATTGCTTTTGTAAATGTTATTTCCCTTTCTATGAGTTTTCCAGAGTTCTCAAAATGGGGCACTAGCTTTCTAACAGATCTGGAGCCCCCATGCCTACCTGCCTTGCTGAAATGGTTTTCTCCTGTGATGGGTCACGTAGTGTATCTGTCCTCAGAGCTGAAGGTGTTTAGAGAAGCTTGACCAATTCCTTCTAGACTTAATGTAGAGAGTAACCAAAGCAAGCATGTTCCATTTAAACTCACCCTTCTAAGCACAAATTTAAGATGAAAGCTCTGCTTTTTTCGACTAGTGGGGAAGACTGTATTATAAAGATAATATATGGGAAGGAAAGGAAGGAAAACATGTTTTATGCTTTTGGGAGGGTAGCATTTAGCTTCCTAACATTGCTTTTCCAAGTTTCTAAACAAGAAATACAAACATCCTTAATACTGACGTTGGTGTTGGTCCTGTAATAGACTAGAAGATGATTCAGGTCGAGTGCACATATTGCGCAACTGTGGAAACTAGCATAATATGAAATAACAAAACTACATAAGGCATGGAACTATAGACAGGATATCTAGTCCTAAAATTGTTTAATGTTAGTATGTTGTGGCTCTATGTAAGTAGTCTTAACTTTTCAGTATACTTTTGAAACAAATACCAGGAGAAATATACCCTTAAAAATGGAATTGATTTACACACACTAGGTGCTTGTGTGTAGAGAATAATAAGCAGGATATTTCTGGTTTCCTTATTTACTGGAAGGTTAATAAACATAGCAATGTGCATGTAATTGTTGTTTGGGAATTATAACAATCACTTAAAGTTTACTTATTTGAGTTGACATTGAGTAATGTGGTAACCTTGAAATGGTGAAGCAAAATAAATTAAAGCAACGTCAGATTAAAATAATGTCAGTTCTGCTTCTGGGGCAAGCTGGACCAAATAAAGGGAGGAGAAGACAGGGCTCCCAGAATAATAATGTCCTCCTCACAACTCCAAAGTTCATTATCAAAAGCAGAAATAAATGTGTAAATGAAGTTAGCAAAAAAATTATATATATGGAGTCTGGGATTCTCTGATGACTAAGATGCTGCAATGCATCTTCTCTCCTACTTGAACTGTACAGAGAAAAGTGTGCTGCGAATTAAAACTGTGGGTCACCAAGATGAGTTAGGGACAGCATTTTCAACAGCATCAGATTGTTAAGGATTAGCTGGTTAATGTGAATGAGTTTGGTAGTTTCCATCATTATTTATCTGTATTTAGAAATTGCTAATGGATTTCTGGGTATTTATTTAAATAAAACTACAAGGCTGGTGTAACTTTTTTTTTCTCTCTCCCTTGTTCCCAGAGTTGGTTCCTTCGATTATGAGTAACATGCTGAATCCGGATGCTATTTTTTCAAACAACGAAATGAGCCTGTCAGACATTGAAATTTACGGGTTTGATTATGACTACACATTGGTCTTTTATTCTAAACATCTGCACACGCTGATCTTCAATGCCGCTCGAGATCTTCTTATAAATGAGCATCGGGTAAGTAAAACTAATAGAATAACAATAGACTTATGAATAAAGAGTATAATAAGTAATTTCTAACTGAGAGTGGCATAACTCATCTTTTCATGCCTTAGTCGTAGCTTGGGGCTCCCTTATGCATGTTGTACAACAGCTACATATGAACCACAGAAGTCCTGGTTTAGTCTCAGCTGCAGTTTTGAGCAGAGTGCAGTCTGACAACCATTAAGGAATAGTGTTTTATTTGTTTTACTTTTTAGTTTGGTGGTGGTGGGGTGGTTTTTCTTCTTTCCAGATTGTCAGTTGTTGGAGTCACCCTAATAGATAAGAAGACTAAAAGTTACCATTACTCTGTTGTATGCGTTGCTGTGAGTGCAGTGATTTAATTTCCATTTGGAATATTTTTAGCCTGACTTCTTATGAGGTGCTGGATTGCTCTGTGTGCTCGCGAGTTGCTCTGTACGCGCCCGCCGTTTCAGCTCAGTTAGGTGAAGGGGCAGCGTGTGCAGTGACCCTGTGGTCGGAGGCTGCAGAGAAGAGAGACCCAAGTGACTGTTCTGCTCAGTAGTCCCCTAAGAGGGAGCGCTGCCCTGTTGCCATGCAGGGTGTTTGCATCGGTGACCAGCTGACATCCAAGCATCTTGGAGCTGGTTGTTGTATGGTTCGGGGGTGAGAGAAGTTACTGTGTGTCGGAAAGCCGGGGGGAAATGGGTGACTTTGAAAACTGAAGGTATTGCAGGGAAAAAGAACGTGGACTGAAAGAGGTGAAGTTTATTGAACTGCAGGACTTGCAAGAAAATAAAAGACAAAAGGTCCATAGACTATTAATAAAACTGCTGTTTTGTTTTGTACAACCTAAATCTGAATGGGTGGTGTTATTCTGCTTTCGTATTTGAATCTAAAGGTTAGGAGCTATATATAAACATCTATAAATATCCCTGGAAGAACAAACAAAACTTCATGGGCACTACAAGCATACACAACTTGATCCCCCAAAGATTTTGTCATGTCTTGGTAGTAATTTCTGTAGAGTGTGTGAATACACTTTATTAAAGCTACCCAGTTCTTGCAAAAATCGACATGACCATAGGAGTTAAGACTAATTCTTGTAGACAGTAATTAAAATAGTGCTCTGTCTTTGCTGTTTGAATGAATTCGGTTTGTCTCGATTAAAATATCTTGAGTTCTAGGAGATGAACCTCTGATTACTTTTTGAGACAACTTACTGAAATATATCCTCTCCAGTTGGAATTTACTGGGGGACAATGGGTTTTATTAATGCTATCTCTGTAGCTGCTTATACTGTAAACGTTTTTCTCGACTTTGATGTTAGAAAAAACTTCTAGATAGTATTGCCCATTGTGACTGTCACAGCCAACCTAAAAGATGGCCAATTTTGGTCATGGCAATGTAAGGTAATTCATCAGAAATTGCAAAATACAGTGTAGAAAGCAAGGAATTTTGAAGTGTGTCCAAGACAATAAACATCAATGTAATGCTAATCTTGGAGGTGGCAGCAGGTGTTGAGCATAAACTCCCGTGTCTGGGTTGGTTTCTTTCCTAATGTATGGGCTTTGCGCCACCTTATCTGGACTGCTGTTTCAGTCCAGATATATCTATCCCTACCAAGAGTGGGATAAGCAAACAGTGCAATTTTTATCATTATTTTGTTTGACTGGTAAGGAGACTTTGATTTGTGTGCCAAGACAGGCTCAATGTTTTTCTCATATGTACTGGCATGCATGCAGAAAGACAGCCTTCTGGTAAAGTAAGTTAAATTAGGAAAATCAAGCATGCAGGAATTTGAAAAAGTCAGAAACAAATTTCCTTGTTCGTGCTTGATGTGGCTGCTTTGAGGCATGTGCAGTACACTGTTGGTTTTAATTAATCACATTTGGTATCATCCCCTGATGTTTGCCCATGTCTCTTGTAGTGCTTCATGTTCCCTGGCCAAATCTATACATCTTCCCAGCGCATCTGTAGGCATTTGATGCTGTGCTTCATTCGATGAGTAGCCTTCCCCGTTTTTTCCTGGAAGTGGTGGTAGGGAGGATAGTTCAGAAGTTAGGAGGAAGGACTATTTTCTGTAACTGTAGATGCCTGTGCTCAGTACAAGCACAATCTACAGTGGTTGTAGAGCAAGTCCTCTTCAGCATAGACTAAAAACTGTGTGGAGAAATTGCGATTTATGTATTTTTTTTTTTTTGTAAGAGTAGCTAAAGCCTCTCTTGAAGCTGTATAATCTACTTTTTTCCCCGAAAGGCCTGTAAATTAGCCATATATCCTTGTTGTTGAGAAAGTGGAGAATGTGCTTGAGTTGCATTTGTCAAGTTCTAAGACTGCTGTAGCCTGTGGGAGGAAAATGAAGGATCACCTTTCAGTTGGTTAATCCAAAGAAATGGTAGTTTTCTCAGGCCTTGTCAGAAATGACTGAGACATTTTACCTTTTGAAAACAAATGAACAAAACCCTTAGCCAAAGGCACACATCTGATGTAGTTTTTTGTCACGGCTGACCCATGCTTAAAGCAGGACAAAATTACAATTGACTGAAAGTGGGCTTGTGCTGAAAAAATGTAAGAAAACCCTCTAATGGGTGGTGTGAGCTACCTATGCTATCTATACACAACCTGAGGGAAGAATACATGACACAGACATTTAATTCACATCCATCTCTGAACAGCAAGGTGTTACAAATGGTGTCCGGGGTAAGTACAGTTGGGTCACTGTGGTGTTCTCCTGAAGTGAGTCACCCCCGTGGTGTTGAAAGCCTAACTTTGTTTCAGAATCTGATCTTTGTAACACGCTGTACCTTGGGGGAGACCCCTGTTAGGGGAGCCTGGCCCCTCCAGGTAACGTTAGCGGTTGTGAATTCTCTTCTTCTTTCCTTCCCATCGGTGTTTATTTGTGGTACACTGTATCTTTAAACACCTCTGGGGTCTACATTTGAAACATGACAATCAAAGATCAGGAGTATTATCCACACTTAGTAAGTCAAAACACATAGCTCTGCTTCTTTCTTGGAAATGCCAGGGACTTTTTTTGCTGCTGTTAATATTGATGATGTCGTATTGATTTTTCTTTCAATAGAAGTGAGCAGTAGACTTCAGGTATCTCTAAATCAGGGCATGTTTTTGGGTTTCTAGCTAGAAGGTTAAGATGGAAACTGCATCTGTTTCTTGACAACACTTCACAATGCAAAGTAACTCAGCTATTACTTTTTAATAAGTTAATAAAATTTAGTTTGTTTTCAAAGGTGCATATATTGAAATAACTTTTTGAACAAGAGGCTAATGGTTAAAGGTGATTGCTACAGAGTACCTTGCTGTCCAGCTTTAGGTACCGTGCCTGGCTTAGATTTAAAACACTGATCTTGCATTTTGGAAGAATATTTGACTTGTCTTGCACTGTACGTATGTTCTTGCAAATCTCACCAACCTAGCAAAAGTCTTTTAATGACTGGTGAAAATGAGAAGGACAGAAAACTTGGGCTTTTAAAATTCTGTGGAAACTTTTAAAAATCTTTTTCTGTTACGGATTTAAAATAAAACAATTGCTCCCTCTTCTTAGTATCCTGCAGAAATAAGAAAATATGACTATGATCCAAATTTTGCAATCAGAGGACTTCATTATGATGTGCACCGGGTACGTATAAATAACTTTGTGATGAGTTATGCAGTGCTGAGAACCTAGCCAGAGAAAATAAAGAGGGCTTTTAAGTCTTCCAACTTTGTTTGCTCTGTGTTGATGTGTAAGGATTTTGTTTCATATTTTTCTGTTTCGTAGCAAGCTTGCTTCTTTCTCTCTTTTTTTTTTAATAGCTCTGAAGTCTGAAATGTTTTGGGTGTTTTGCTCTTAATGGTGGGTGGGGAGAGGATGACAACTTAAGAGCACAACTGAATGAACCTGAGCAGGCGTCTGGTAGTAGAAAAAGTTATTTTGTCATGACTTAGCTCAGGTCACTGGACAACGTTTCCTTGGAGATTTGGCAAGCCCTAGATAAAAGTCATTGATAAAAGTACTTTGGAAGCTATGAAGGCAGTTGAAGTGAAGGTACTCAGGGGTTCTTGAGACAGAAAGGTTATAGATAAAATTGTTTTGATTTTTATAATTTCATGTCAAATAGTTGATAATAACTGATATTTTTTTCCCTCCCTTTCAAGGCATTATTAATGAAGATTGATGCTTTTCATTATATTCAGCTGGGGACAGTTTACAGGTCGGTAAAATTATTTCCTATTTATAATAAAAATGTGTACTTTTGTTTTTTGAATCTTAGTTGCACTTGTTAGTGTACATCTTAGGTTCATATCGGGAACCGTGCCCTGACAAGCACAGATATGAATGAACGTTGCAGCCTTACTGGAAGGGGTTTTCTTTGCACCTCTGTGTGTACACGCAGGCTCGCGCACGCGTTTACTGACTGATACAGTACAGCGGCTTGCCCGGGTCAGAGCTGGGGAAGTTGGCAAGCCGGTTGGTCACATAGTGCTGACTCACTTCGTTTCCGGCTGTTAAATTGTGCTGAAAGACAGCTAAAAATACACTGATGACTTCTCCGCTGTTGCTTTCTATGTGAAGGATTGTCACAGAGCCTGTTAGCGTGGCTTTGGTGTGCTTGTAGAGGCGCTTGAGAGGCCTTGCTGTGTTTGCACAGAGCTTTTAAGTTTGGACACGTGAGCTGCATCGGACTTGCAGAATGGAGAACAACTGCTTTGCGTCTGCACAGCCTGACACTGCTGGAGTTTACTGAACTGGAGTAGAACTGGCAGTATCTGTGCTGTGCTTCGTTACATGATACAGGCACACTGCGTGGGATCTTTTTGACGGCAGTTTTTAGTCTGGCTCAGTTTGCCGTAATGAAGCAGTACACGTTTGACTGATGTGAGCGCCATGCTTGGTACCAGATTTTAAATTAAAGAACAAGCCTGAGCACCTTTCTTAATGGCATTGGACAAAAAGTTTTCATTTGGGGCCAAAAGTGGAAGGTGTCCCTGCGTGTGGCAGGGGTTTTGAACTCTTGAAAGTCCTTTCTGACCCAAACCATTCCACAATTTTATGAAAAGATAACACGACCTTGAGGTGATTTACTATGGGGGACTGTATATGGTAGTACGCAATGATGTTAATGTGCTCGTTACTTCTTTTTGTTGGCTAATCGGGCAGCTAGGTAGATGATTCAGCCGTAGTCGTTGGTCTGTTCCTTTATGACTTAGTCCAAGGTGCCCTTTGGGAGAGGAAGGGAAGGAAAATGGAAGTGGAAACAAGGTGGCATGGTCCAGCCTTAGGCTCATACTGTCAACATAGTAGCTCTCTAAAGCTGCCAAACCAATGCATTCTGTGTGTATTATCGGAGTCTGAGTGAAACTTTGCACGATTTATTTGTGTGTTTTATACATGCTGATGTACAATAATTATTGTATGTTTCAGCTGACAAAACCCATTCCTGTGGTTTTTGGAGGAATTGTTTATGCAGGGCTAGGAGGGAACCAGAGAACTCAGTATGAAGGGTGCTGGTTGTAAGATTAATTTAAAAAGCCTGTCACATTTTCACATTTTTCACTGTGAAAAGTTTGCTAGATTAAAGGCTAGGTGAAATAATAAAAAAATACATATATCTGTAGAGATATGTTGTAGAAGTATTATGATTGGTATCACAGAATCACAGAATGTTCGGGGTTGGAAGGGACCTCTGTGGGTCATCGAGTCCAACCCCCCTGCCGAAGCAGGGTCACCTACAGCAGGCTGCACAGGACCGCGTCCAGGCGGATCTTGAATATCTCCCGAGAAGGAGACTCACCAGCCTCCCTGGGCAGCCTGTTCCAGTGCTCAGTTACCCTCAGAGGGAAGAAGTTCTTCCTCGTGTTCAGACGGAACTTCCTGTGCTTCAGTTTGTGCCCATTGCCCCTTGTCCTGTCACTGGGCGCCACATGTGAGAGCACCAGAAAAAGTGTTGCTAGAACAGAAAAAAGGGTGGCTAGTGTTGGTGGTGCCTGGATCAGTTGGTCGTCAAGATATCAGCACATCTGCATGCTGTTTCTCCAAATACCCATGTGGGGGTGGGGGGAGCAAAAAAGAGGCTGAGGGCTTTGAAAGATGTCAGGAAGAACAGTGGTATGACTGGAACTGCATAGTGACCTGGGCGAGATAATGAATGGGTGGTGGGTCCATGAGCAGTGTTGCCCTATGATACAGAGTGGGACAAAATGAAGAGGCAGAAGATTACAGTTGCTGTCAACTCCTGGTACAAAAGGCACATCCAAAGCCAGCGGACCATGACCGGGCAAGAAAGCTCTAAAGAGGTGTTGAGATTTGGTGAAGAGCTGGTGTCCCTTGTTCTCCATGTCACCCAAAGTAATACTGGACAGACTGCTAGGTACTTGTGAGTGTGTGTGAGGGAGACAGTGGACGCTACCATTTCACTCAATACTTTCTCATAATTTTGTTTAAAATAAGGTTACCTTTCTCTTCTGTACCAACGCTGAGCTTTGCTGTCAGTTGCTGCATATCTGTAGTTCTTGGTTTTAATCTTCTGTGTGTTCTGTACGTGTGTAAGTCAGTTACACCTCTGAAAGTAGCAGGACTTGTCCAAGCACACAGCCTCACTTGCACTGAGAGGTGTCAGCGGTTCCGGTATCCCTCTGACGATGCACATGTCTGAGAGCACCAACGGGAGCCCTGCTGTAGGTGAACGGTGATGCTTTTGGTGCCGTCTGTCCGTGCCGTCAGTGGAATAAAATAAATGCTGTAGGTATACAGCTGGACTGAGAACTGTGTCAAGACTCTAGGTCATCTGGTAAAGCTGTTCTACAGCTTTGCCTACAGTCGTCTTTCCTCTGTGGATTGCTTGTATGTCTGTTGTCCTCTCGATTTGTGCTTAAGTAGCTTCTGATCCACAAGCGCTTTCTTTAGCAGTACTTGAGTACCATTTGCCATAGCTGCCTGCAGACTAGAAGAGGAGTCAGTCCTCAGTTCTGGTTGTATGACTTGGTACATGTTGAACATTTTGGTTGCGTTTCTTTGTGTTTAAGCTACTGCTGTGGAGCGGGTGACGCCGAACTCTGTGTGTTACAAATCCAAGTTATTATCTGCCCTGTCTGTGCACAACATGAACTTGAATGCTGGAGTCCTACCAGCAGTAGCACAGAGCTGTGTACGAGTTGCTGTAGCACTCAGAGGTGCAGTAAAGGACCCAGTTAACATGGGACTCTGCTACCATAGCAGCCCTGAGGAAGTTCATGTATCATGCCCTGCTGCGGCAAAGCTGGCGTGGATGCTAAACACCGAAAATACTAGGCTTATTAATTAATTTATTTTTTAATGCCTCACTTCTGGATAAGACCAAGAAAAGGAGGCACTGAAATCAACAGTCTTACAAGGCTGCAAAAAACCTGAAGGGACCAGATGATCTGCTTTTCATTTGTGTTCTTTAATCTGAAGTAAAACCTCAACACTTCTGTGTCCTCTGGTGAGGATGTTTGCATGCCTGCAGCAGTGTTTCAGATGCTTTAGTGCAAGATGCTTAATACTGTAAACATTCAAAACTGAAAAAACCAAAGCATTTAATCTCTTATTAGTTGATATAGAAACTCTGGCGAGAGATGTCTCCTCCTTTCCAGTTTGTTTAATTACTTGTCAACAATCCTTGAAGTAATCTTAAATTTTGGGAATCTGAACTGTTGATACAGTTTAAAATAAATTCTCATTTAGTTAAAAGTTGTGTGTGTTTTCCTTGAATCTTCAAGGTCATGCTGCAGAATAATCTGTTTTAAACACTATCACATCATCAGTGCTGTATGAAACGGAGTGAAGAATTACTTTGTGTTAAGAAACTGGAAGCTCTAACTATTTCTTAAAACCCTTGAGGCATAGTTTCAGTGGAGGCTAATTAGCTGTTTTCCCGTAAGAAAGCAAAAAGGACTTAAAATTGGAATGTGTGCGTCAGCCTGTTAAAGTGTTACTTGTTCTGTAAGGAAAGATGCTGTTTTAACTTACAGACCAAAGAGTTCCTATGACTTTATTAGTATTTTAATAAGCTGCGGATCTAAGTGTTAATCTTTCATGTGGTAGTGACTTGAAAATTTTAATCTGACTTTTGAACTAAAGCTAATGTTGTTTTCCAGAGGCCTCAGTGTTGTCCCAGATGAAGAAGTCATTGCAATGTATGATGGTTCCCATGTCCCTTTAGAACAAATGAGTGACTTTTATGGAAAGGTAAAACCACAAACTGCTCTTTAAAAATGATATTTTTTTTTTTCTCAGGGTGGGGGTAGTGGTGTTTGCATTTTGTTCCTATTCTTGCTACCAGTTATATTTTCTCGATACGTGATTGACTTACAGTGCCAGATGTGAAGTTTGCCCTCTAAAGTGACAAAAATATTTCCTTTCTCCCACTCACTGTAGTTTCTTCTTTCACTGTTCCCTTGCCCAGTCATACAGACAGAGAAGCAGAACATAAAAAAAAAAAAAAGTGACTTGCTCAGTGTTGCACAGCAGATCTGATAAAGGCTGGGGAGTGAACCATACCTGGTGCCTTACCCCAGCTGTGTACTTCTTCCCGGTGGTGTGATGGCTTGGCTGAGGTAGCAGCAAGTAAATACATGGAGGCATCCCTTGCATACAAGCGAGCATAGTGACAGGAACAGGGCTTGACAAAAGATGAATGATAAAAGGTAAAGCTTTTAAGTTCAGGGTTTGACTCTGTGGGGAAAGTTGATCTGCTTGCTGGTTGGTTCCTTCCTCTTTTGCAAATGAAGAATGATGCTGTCTTCTTAGTAAAAAACAGGTTTATTTTACCCCTCCTATTTATGGGTGTTAATTCCATGTTGGCATGAAAGGCTATTCTTTTTGCTGTGGAGCAATTTGTTGTTCTCACACTTGTTCTTATTTTAAGGAGCTGAACTTAGAATTCCCAAATCTGGTCTCTGCGGCAGTTCTGAACATTGGCCTAGCATTCCCTGTGGGATATCTTGGTCTCTGCAGGTCTATGCTTTCTTTGATCTTGGAAAGGACAGTGGCAGAACAAGAGGCCATGGACACAAACAGAAACACAGATTTCCTCTGAACTACAGGAAACACTTTACTGTGGGGGTGACTGAGCACTAGCGCAGGTTGGTTGCCCGCAGAGGTTATGGAGTCTCCATCCTTTGAGACATTTGAAAGCCATCTGGACATGGTCCTGGGCAAGTGGCACAAGGTGGCCATGGTTGAGCAGGGGGTTGGACAAGATGACCTCCAGAGGTCCCTGCCAACCTCAAGTATTCTGTGTTTCTGGGATCTTGACCAGTTTTTTGTCTTGAGCAAAGAAGTCTGGTTGCTTTACCCCTCCTCTTCTTGAGAAGTATTTGGTTTGTATTTGCCCTTGTATAATGAGTTTCTCTGCTTTCGTGAAACTTAACTGTAGTTACAGCTTTTGCAGACTAGAAATATTTTCTTCTGTTCCTGCATGAGTTATTGTAGATTCTTACAACTTTTTATTATCTCTTTTCAAGGAGGTAAATTGTTTTGCAGTCCTAATCCACTTATTAAAAAGCAGCCCCTCCCCTAAAAAAACAGAAAAAAAAAATCAAAAAACAAACCAAACAAAACCTCCAGCCCCCATCACAATACCCAGTGCTTCTTATTTACAGAAGTGCAGAGTTCCAGTGAAGGCCTCTTAAGTCCTTCTCTTAACTTTAAGCGGACCACTGTCTTTTGTGTGTTTACGAGTTAAAATACCTCTCTTAAGAGTAATGAATTATGATTAATTCTTAAAGCCAACGCTATTGTTGGAGTTACTTCATTGAAAGTCTTTTAGTTCAAAAAGAATCTAAAGCAATGTGAACAGTGATGGCAAAAGCTGATTATCTGCAGGTAAGCTGAAGTGTTTATACTGAATGAATTAAAATATTCTAATTTGAGAAATGCCTAACCTCTTTTTCTTCTTTTTTCTTCCCACTCCTGTAGAGCTCACAAGGAAATACAATGAAGCAATTCATGGATATATTTTCCTTGCCAGAGATGACACTCCTATCTTGTGTGAATGAGTATTTTCTGAAAAACAACATAGACTATGAACCTGTTCATCTGTACAAAGATGTCAAGGTACTAGCTTTGAAGATTTAGGCAAACCTCTACATTTGTGTGTCTTTTCTGTGAGTGCTTCAGGAAGCTTCAACCTGTTGTGTCAGCTGCAGTGAAATACCTCAACTTTAGGTTTTGTACAGAGTAATTATTGCTATACAACCGTAAAAACATAAGTAAAATGATGGTAGACCTTTGAAAAGAAACATAGAATAATGTGAAATTTGTTTTAAATCTGACGTTCTGGGGCTGTTGTTCTTTTTGTAGGTTTGAGGGGTGGATAATAAATAAAGCTTCAATAAAGCTTCTTCTGATTGTTATTGTACCACAGATTGTATATCTGTGGTATTTGTTTCTCACTAGCAGCAATTGTAAGAGACTATATGGAATACCAGTTTGGAGCTTTCAGTCGTACGGCCTCTGTATCTTTGCTAGTATATGATCATTTGCTGCCTCTTGCTTTTGGCATATCTATTTTGCCTGTTTTCCTCACTTCCTCCTCCAGAGAAATCTAGTAATAGGGAATAGAGTAATTTGACCCTCTGGATTCCTCAGGATGTATCCTGCAGAGGACATAAAATTATGTCATGGTTATTTAAGAACAGAAGAGGTCATACCCAAGTTGATGGTATTTGTCTGCACAAGCTTTCCATCCAAAACCTTTTCCTGGCCCCTTGTTGATACGTACTAAGCTTGTCTAGTTGTTCAGCATATGTGGTGCACCTGAATGTTGAACTTCTCACTTTCTGAAGTAGATCAGATAGGTTTCAATAAACTTTTGACCTCAAGAGTATTTTTCCCTTCTGCCTATGGTTACATAGAGCCAGAAGGCTAGTTTTTATGGTTTCTGCTGAAATATTCATAGAAACTTCTGTACTGCTTAGCATTACCAACATTTTGGAAGCCCCATAGTGGAATTTTTTTGAGGATTTTTAGGGCATACCCTATGTAAGTACCAAAATCACAGTACCACTGAACTGAAAAAGCGGTTTGGTGCAGAGCTGGCTCAGGAGAGCTGCGAAATGCCTTCGGAGCAGCTTACGGGTACTTTGCTTAAGCATTTAGCTCCTTTCATCTGTTTGTAAATTTATTTTTTAAATAACCAGGCATTTGGGAATGATCATAATCTAAAATCTGTCTGACTTAATGCTTTTGGGGTTTCTTTTGCAAGGGGAAAGGAATGTGTTCTGCTTCAAAGGTTGTTGGAAATCTGTGGTGACTCTGCTTCTGCAGAGAGCTTTCACCCCACTTCACCCTGCTGAGCTCCCTTTCAGAGCTGTTATGTGACAGAGCCCCTGTGCTACACAGTTTTATACTTCCCAAAAATATGAAGCTAGCTTCTTAGAGGGCAGGCTTACTCTTTGTCTGGTGGTGACATATGCATGATGAACATCACATGGCATTTCTGTAAAGTTGAAAATGTAATTCAGAGAAAGGAATTGTTTTAAAAACAAATTACTCCTGCTATGCAGTGAGCATGGTTTTTACAGTTGAAAATATTTTTAAGTTCTTTAGTGCTCTGTTGTTTTCCTGACAGGATTCAATCAGGGATGTCCACATCAAAGGAATCATGTACAGAGCAATTGAAGCAGATATTGGTAAGTACTAATGAGGTTATCTATCAAAGCTTTTCTCACTGATAGTGTAATGATAGTGTAATGATTTTGGCTTCCTTATTTAAGATTACAAATTCTAAATTTTAAAGCTTGAAAGAGTTATTTCCACTTGTCTAAGGTGCCTTTGTTAAGTATAACCTATCATGTTCTGAACCCTTTGTTGAATGCAGAGAAAATTCTGGTGAAAAACTTTTTCAATTAATACCGTATTTTCCCCCAATCCTCACAGAAAAATACATCTGCTATGCTGAACAAACTCGTGCGGTGTTAGCAAAGCTGGCTGATCATGGCAAGAAGATGTTTCTCATCACAAACAGTCCCAGCAGCTTCGTGTAAGGGAATAGTTGTTTGCTGTTCAACTGTACATTTTTGAAGGATGGGGGAGAGTGAGATTCTTGCACGTGATTCATTATATTGCACAGATACCTGAACTTCTGTTACACTTCACTGTTAATATCCCTCTGTCCTTTTTAGGGACAAAGGCATGAAGTTCATAGTTGGCAAGGACTGGAGGGATCTCTTTGACGTGGTCATTGTACAGGCTGAAAAGCCAAACTTTTTCAATGATAAGCGAAGGTGGGTATTTGGTCAGTAAAGAACGATTCAAGCAGCTTATTCCATAGAAGGCTGTAGAGTGTGCTATGAAATATTTTAATTGCATGTAAGGTAAAATGAAATCACATTTGATGAAATCCTTGTTAAGGTCATTACAGAATGCAGCAATGCTCCGTTCTGAATTCCAAATATTTACCATTTCTTACCTAAGAAAGTTCCAGAGCTATTACAGCTCTGCTGGACTGAATTAGGGTCACAGAAGCTGTTTTTAATACTTTAGCTTGTATGTTGAAGTGTGTTCCTTTCCTAACAAACATGAGAAATTTTGATGCCTTTCAGAATCAGCCCCTCATCTGGAAATGTCTTTCATTGCTGCTGTTTTTTTTAGCCATACATGATATGTAAAGGGCAGACCGGCTGACAGGCTGGAGTATTTGGACTAGTTGTTCAATTAAGTAAAAACATTTGTAATGCATGTGCACTACTCTTGCACTTGGAAAAGACCTGTTCCTTTATGCTTACGATGATTTGAAAGTGAGATAGAGAGGTGGGATTTCTTTTTTCCTTTACTTTTTTTCATGCAAGTTTAAAAAACTTTGCTGTACATCTTGCCTTCTGTCTTCCACCTTCTATTTCAGTTATTGAGTTGTAGAAAATAATGTAATGGGCAAGATTTTTACACATCTTCTTTTGTATTCTTTTCTCTCCTTCTTAATGGCAGACAGTTCACACTGTTGCTTCCCCTCTGTCCAGGATCCCTGCTTTAGTTCTCCAACTCTGGGAAAAATGTCATAGATGTGCTGGACAGATGCATTGCATTTCACTGGCTAAAGCTGAAGCTTTGAAGCTTTGCTCTTTGTCTGCTACAAAATGTTCAGATGCTAGACAGCATGTTTTCACTTTGAAAGATGAATATTTTTAATATTAACGTTTTATTTTCCTCTGAAAAAGTGACAGATTTTGTACAGCAAGGTAATAATTGTCTGTAATTCTATTCTAGACCATTTCGGAAGGTAAATGAAAGGGGAGTGTTGCTCTGGGACAAAATTCACAAGCTGCAGAAAGGTCAGATTTACAAACAGGTATGCTTTCAGTAAACTCAGTTAAAATTCAGTACCTATTTCCTAGAATCCCAAGCTGCTTTAGATATCATAAACGCTTCTAAAAAGTACATATTTTTTTAAGTGGTACAAATTCATTGTTGGTATTGTCTGTCTGCAGTTTACTTGCCTCTTGAAGTGATAGTATTACTGAAGTTGCCTGTAAAATTTGGAATTTGTAATGTATTAAACTGAGGACAAGATTCTTGATATGAAAATATTTTTAGGGGTGTACTAAATTCCTTTTTCGTGTCTGTGAAGGTGCCAGTTGTGCGCTGCTACAGTGTATGTGTCATTGTTTCCGCAGGGTAACTTATACGAATTTCTGAAGCTTACTGGCTGGAGGGGGTCTAAGGTTCTCTACTTTGGTGATCACATCTACAGCGACTTGGCAGTAAGTAGTTTACTTTCAGAAAGTAGGATAAAAGATGAGGCTTTTTGTCAGTTTTCCTTCCCAGTGATTCAAGGTAACACACACTCATTTGAGATTCCTAAATACAACAAAATTTGAGTTGATAATTAAGCCATGCTACTTTTCTGGTTTGTAGCATTTAACTTGTTTACAAACTGTGCTCAGGAATGTGTGAGTTTGTATTCCTGATCCAGATACTGATTGCGTCAGATGCAACAGAGTAAACGCAGATATCCAAACGTGCAGGATGTGGCTGATCTGGATGACATTTACTACCAAGTGTAAGAAGAGCTGAATGAACTTGTGTTTTGAATGGCAGGAGGCAATCTTCCTGTCGCTAATAGTAAACTAACTTTCTTCCTGAGATCTTGCTATGGTTTGTAGCCCCACTATCCAGGCGTTTTCTTACTATTTGAGGAACAAATGTGCTGTTAACTGTTACTTTAGAGTAAGCGAGCACCACTGAACTCTTGTGTAACTGATTGTGTGTGAATGGCTGGATGTGACTTTCCACTGCCAAGTTGTGGTGACATGTTTCAGCAGCAGCAGATATTAATGTTTTTGCCCTAGTTTGCTTTTAAGGAGGTAAGTAAGTTTGGATGCTTCAGAAGGCTGAGGGCCAACGGAAGGAGGCGACAGCTCCGTTCTTCTCTGGCGCAAGGGAGGAGAGAGCACAGGTGGCAGCTGCCTCATCCTGTACTTGTCAGGAGGAGCTGCAATAGCTGGGGGTCCTGGTACGACCCTGCTGTCAGCTGAGTGTGTGGGTAAATACCACGAATCCATCACATGGCTTCCTCCAGATACTTCTCAGAGCAGCAGAGGTCTCATCTACTGCAGGAAATTTCCTACTGTTTGTTTTAAACCTAATGAATTGCTGCTTATTTGCAAGTGCTTATGTGTTCTTTGTCTTTAAAAATGTGGGATTTGAAGCTTACTTTGAAATTAAAATCTGTTGCCTGTTGGCACAGTTAAATCCCACTATTTAAGATTTCTGCTTATACTTAAGAAGCAATTCAGTTAGTGCCCCTTTGGGATAAACAATGGTCATATTCTTCAGTTCTTTTAAGTCGCTCTTTTTAAGACTAATACTTTTATTTTGTAATTCTTTTTGGTAAATAGGATTTGACCCTGAAGCATGGCTGGCGCACTGGTGCAATTATTCCAGAGTTACGATCAGAGATTAAAATCATGAACACAGAGAAGTACATTCAAACCATGACCTGGCTGCAAACCTTGACAGGATTACTGGAACACATGCAGGTTTGTTCTGTATGTGTGTAATCAGCTCTGTGTAGCAGAAGGGATCCAGGCAAGTTTCTAAATGCTGGACATTTATGTTGCAAGTACTTTCTGTCTCATTAGAGTTCACCAGTTTGTAGATAAATAAATGCAGTTATTTGTGTGGCTAGTTAGTAAGAGTTTTACCAGAATTTTGGTACCAAAAATCCCTTCCTGCCATTGTCAGCCTGGATTGATTCCTGCTTTCAGTTGTTCAAAATGCGTGTGGGTAACTTCTGTATGCTGATCTCTGAAGTGTTGCTCTTGTCTTGTTGGCTGACAAGGGTTTTTTAATGGAAAGGCTCATTTATGAGGGCATCCTTAGTTACCTGTCATCCATACTTTACATTCCAGGTCCACCGTGATCCTGATTCACAAATGATTTTAGAAGAATGGAAGAAGGAAAGAAAGGAGATGAGGTGAGTCATGGGAGATGAAGAATTTGCAATATGCTTCCTGGTAGCCAAGTGTTCTGTGTGATATCTTCTACAGGTTTCTTCAGAATTTCTATCCGTTGCTGATTTATATTTCCTGGTAGTTACAGACCTTCTAAAATTGTCTGTGTAAAGCAGTATTCTACCCGTGGAGCTCTTCTCCCTTCTGACCCTTTGAGCACATGAATGCCTTTTCCCTGTTCCCCTCATTTGGAACAGATGTTAGTTTTCTGCATGAAAGGGTAACATCAGATGGAATACTTTTCCTTCTCATCTTAGTTCTCCTGTCCCTCTGTGTTCAGCTATGACTATTGCCATTGATTACACAGCTTAGCTTCTGCATGATTTAAAAATGTGTTTCTGTATCAAAACTTAGTCATTTCTTCATTTTCTTTTTTTTAGATTATTTCTTCAGATTACATACCATAAATCTTAGAATATGCAGACATTGGGCTCTGCACTAGATTGGATTTAGCAGTGGACTCATCAGAGATAGGTAATAGGGCTAAAACTCCTCAAATCTATTGTCGTGAAGGAGCAATCCCTAACTGCAGGGTGTGTGAAGTGCACAGTTGGCAAGGCCAGCAGCTGTACCACCAGCAGCCTTCCCCAGACAAGTGGAAGTAAATGAAGTGGGAATGATACTTGGCAGTGACTAGTAACAGAAGTGTTTTTTTTTGTTTTTTTTTTTTTAAAGTCCAAGTGAATGTCATTAGGATTTGGAGGAAGGCAAAAGTTGTCTTTCACAGTCTCTAGAAGCAAAAGCTTGAGATGTCATGTTTCTGAAGTCAGAAGCAACTTATCACTGGTTTTAGTGGAAGAAGTGTGAAGCTCTTCTGTTTGTTTACTGCTGTGATTGATATAATAATGATAATGCACAGAACAGATTTTAGGAACTGCTTGCTTCAGATTCTGGATGCTAGCTGGTGCAGGTATGTTCACCTCGTTCTCTTTGTTTTCTTCTTTTTGTGGGGACAGGGAGATGAACAGGAATCTCTTCAACGCACAGTTTGGAAGCTTATTCAGAACTGATGAGAATCCAACTTATTTCCTAAGACGTCTCTCTAGATTTGCAGATATCTACATGGCATCATTAAGTTGTCTCTTGAACTATGAGCCTGATTACACGTTTTATCCAAGAAGGACTCCTTTGCAGCATGAACTTCCTGGCTGGTCAGACCAGCTGTGCACTGGTACATTCAGAATACCTTTTCTGCAAGAGACGGTTCAGATCAAATAAGCTTGTTCTCTCTAAAACCAGCAAATACGCTGAGTTTCTTTTTTTAATGTACATGTGTTTTATTTAAGTCACTTGGAATCTGTTATCTTGATTTTGACATAATTGATACTTGTTCTCGTGAGCATTGTGCCCATTTTCTCCGGTCCTGCTCAGAGATGTGTAAACTCCTTTTACACACAGAAGAGATGATGGCCTGCCAAAATAGTAGTGGGCTGGGAGGGAGGGAAAGGGCTGGTGGTGTTCTGGGGTGGCTGTTTTTGTTTATCTGTTCATTGAAAGTTTTGATCTGCAGCCTTGTGGTTTACAAAGAAATACCTATACTCTCTCTGCTCTGGCCCTGATCAGAACTCCAGCTGGAGCCTGTAATGGGTCTTGGCACTGGAACGCCTAAATCCAGTATTAGTAAATCAGCGATAGGCAGTTAGAAACCAATGCGTGGTGAGACTGAGAGGGATGGTGCATGCATTTTTAACTTTCCTTGCTGCCATAGCCAGAGCCTTATCTGTAAGGGGACTGACTGCTGCGTGGTGTTGGCGTGCCTCTGCGGAGATTGCAGCGCTGACGGGCTCAGGCTGGTGGGCTTTTGCTTCTGTCTGTACTGTTTCTATTCTGGTAACGTCTGTGCTTGGCTCTAAGTGGACCTGAGCCTAAAACAGAAAGTGCCAGTAACTTGGGCTGCTTCAGCTTCCTTTTGTTAGCTTTCAGGTACCTTTCTGTTTAAGCTTCAAAACACTTCGAACATCTGCTCTCTGAAAATAAAGCTGTTTGAAGAGGTCTTGCATTTTGCATTTCAAAGTGGAGACAGATCTCTGTCAGGCTTTAGATTAATCCTGAATGCTGCTTTTTAAAATTTTAACAGTGTCTTACAGTGGCATGCGATGTGGTTTTGCTGTTTCCTAGGAGAAGAATGTATTTCATATAGCCTTCAGTAACGGACTTTTACAGTCAAAAGTAAACACGCACAGTGGGCAAAGGAGTTGAAAGACAAATGAAGAAATGAGAAGACCAGTGTTTTCTGATGACATTCTTTTTAGCTCAGGCCCTCAAAGCTGAATTGGGGGTGGTGGACAGTTTGCATCTATCAAAATAATTTTGACGGTGCAGATTAGAAGTTTTACTGAAACGGATGTTTTCAGTAATTTATACTGAAATGACAGGCAATGCACGAATATAAACTCTGGGTAGCATATACGTTCCAAAGATTAGAGCTGAAAAATGTCGATTTTGCACAAGGAGAACATCTGTTGATGTGTTTCCTCAAACAGGCACTTTATGGAACTGCTATATAGTTGTTTTTAAAGAAGGATGCTTTCCTTTCTCTGCATCCAGAGGAAACTTTTTTTTTTAACTGGTGTTTCCCACCCCAGCCATTTTAGAAGGCATAATATGATGAATGTTTTTCAAATTTTAGTTATTAAAGGCTCTGGTTTTAAAAGCATATAATTACTAAAATATATAGCATTTGGTATTCTTCACTTCATTTTGGGATATCACTTGCTTCCTACCATGATTGTCAGGTAAACAGACTTTTGGTGACCAAAAGGTTTCTTGTTTGTTTGGTTTTTTTAACCTGTCTGTATTATGTGCAAGTACCTAGATTGACTTTCATGTGCAGTATCTTTCATATTTTTAAAAACACATTTGCAAAGTAAAGAATGTATTGTAATCTAGCCTGCACATTTTCATAAGTAATTTTCCTGTATGCTTGAAATCAGTCTGAAGTCCTCTATAACAGAGGCAGTTACAGATTTTATGTTGGTGGTTTTCTTGTGCTTCTGTTTCACACCTGACATGTGACACTCCTGGAGCGTGCGTGTGTATGCTTGAAACGAGCAAGTTCACGTGACAGTCCTGCTGTTTTGCTGGAAGAAGATAATAAAGTTTTGCAGGAAGTTGGTTTGGTTTTGTCAGGAGACTTGGTGGTGGGGCTGTGCGAGGAATATTTAGCACAACTTGATAATGACGTGTGGGGATGCAAATATCCCCGGTTTGCCTTCAGTTCTTTATCCTGATGCTCGGCGAGAACCGAGCTTGGTGGTACATGTGTGTAGCACCTCTCATGCTCCAGAGATTTAATGTGCTATTTAAAAAAAAACAACAAACAACCAAACCAAAAAACCACTGTACGTTCTCCATCTTACTACCAGCAAGTAATAATATTGTGTTACTCAGTTCTGCATTACTGAATTTGTTAACGTTTTGTTGGTTATAGCTCTGTGACGTTTATTCCTTTAAAGCTGGCTAGGAGTCAGTTTGCTTAATTTTCCTGTGTTAAGCAGGAACGGTTTGATTGGTTTGGATGATGTTATCCACATAACACATTTTATTTCAAGATGACTTTCTCCTCTCCCCCTTCCTTTCTCTTAACTTACAAATCAAACTTCTGTACGAAGCTATGTTATAACAGCCAGCTGAAATGAAATCTTGTTTATATTGCATGATTTCTTGAAATAAACAACATTGCATGAAAAAAAAATATGGGAGGGTTAAGTTCCTTTAAAACAACCCAACTATGTATAATATGAATTGAAGTGAGAATTTTAGTGTCCTATTTATTTTTCAGTGCTAGAATGCTCTTCTTTAACTTTTAAAAATTTCTTGCATTTTTGTAATGATTTCACCTTGGCACACTCTGCATTACTGCTTTTAACCTGGTTATGCTACCGACTTCAAAGAGATTTTCTGAGCATGTTTAAAGGGCAGTGTCTCTTTGTACTCATTTTCGGAGTATAGTTCATTTGAACACCAAAGCAAGAAGAAATTTTCAATCTGTTCTATCGAAAATACGGAAGAGAATAGTCTGTCAGTAGAAGAAGAGTTTAATGAACTGTGGGACTTTTTCGGTGATAAAAATATTCAATGATTATTAGAAAAATAAATGCTTGGACTTTACCTTCTGGTCCCTACGAGCCTTTATATTTCGGGTGACTGGGGAGAAGGAAAGAACATGAGTTGTACTAATTGCAGAGCTCTGTGGGGAAAACTCCCCTAAATGTGTATGTGTGTTTGTGTTTTAATTTTTTTTTATGATTTCTTACAGATAAAAGCAAGCAAAGGAGTCAGGGAAGTGAGTCCAGTTTGTCCCTTTCACCCAGGCATATTTGTGCATGAGAGTCCCTTGGTTGTGCTTGATTGCTGTGTCAACAACCCTGGATTTGCCTGTGCATCTTGTTTGGATGGGAGGCAGCCGGGGGTTGCTCTCAGAGGTGACCGATGCTTTGCTGCAGTGACGCTTCCCTCCTGCTCCCCACGCCTGGCAGACACCCGGAGGCATATCGTAGGGGAACGTTACTGCTGCCAGCAAGAAAATCTTCCTTTTCTTGCTCTTTTGTGGTTTCTATAGCGTTCTCGCCATTTGCTATGATATTAAGGTTTTGAGGAAGGGAAACGAAAGAGAATCAAACTTCACCATGCTAATAGTATGGTGAATATTGCAGCTGTTATTGCTGTGTGTCAGTTGAAAGGCAACATTAACGTGCTTGGTAAAGATACGTCTGTGGACAAGCAGCTTCTGCTCCCAGCAGACCCCAAAATCTGAATGTGGACATGAGCTGGCAAGTGCTTCATCGTCATTGTCTGCTTTTCACAAAAATGGCTCAAAACTGATTGCTATTTTAATACCCTCATATAATTTATATTTCTTGCTAAAGCTGCTATAATTCCTATTTCCCTTTGCACAGTGAGGTGAAATGTAAACAAACCACAGTGAAGTTGGAGGAAAGGCAGAAAAGCTAGAGTGGGCAAGCAGGGCAGACAGGATGGTTGCATTCCAGCTGCTGAAATTCTTACAAGAAGAGGTATTCTAGCAGAAAATCCCCTCAGTTTAAAAATACAGGGTTAACACGTGTTCTGTTTCATGGTGGCCAGTTTTAGCTGTAACTGAGCCAACATGAATGCGTAGAGCTGGAGTACTAGCAAATTTAGGATGCTTGCCAAGTCAGCAGTGTGTTTGAGGCCATTTTAAAGTCTGTGAAGAGGAATAAAAGCAGTTAAATAGCAGGCTAGTGAAAGTCTTACACTTTTCACCAAAGTTCACTGTTTGCTTCTGAGTAGGTTAGTTGAGACAGCTTTGCATTTGGTGCTCTCAGTTGATACAGCTCAGATACAGCCGCTGCTTCTGAGGTTGGTAACTCTGTGACCTCTACAGACGGCATCTTAAACAAAGCTGTGCTCTTTTTAATTTGTAACAAGATTTTATTCTCTGAAATGCGTAGATGCTGTTTTTTCACAGTAAGGGTAAGTAGAAATGTGTTTTATACTTGACTAAGGCCAAATTCAGTCTTTAATTCTGATCGTGAGGACCACTTATCACAAGCTGCTGGTCATCCGAATCCTGTAAAAAAGAAGAAAAAGAAAATCAGACTTGAACATTGCATTAAGAAGTGAAAGTCTCTTTTTGGCAAATTTGTCCATACAGATGGCAGAGTTTGCACCAAACTAGTCTCTTTACTGTGTGCAAAAAGGTTTATTTGGATTTTAGACTCTGCATGTACATGAGGGTCTTGCTGAATTGGACCATTGAGGCTATTCAGATACTCTGACTTAACTCAATCTTTCCTCCCCTTGTTTCCCAGCCCCCCTCCCGTAGCATTTCGGATTCTCTGCAGAGTGCTGGCACGGCACTCAGCTGCATTTGCAGCAGAGAGAAGGGAAGACAAAACTGGAAGGCTTTTGAAGTTTGTATAGACCCGTCACTGGCATCCAGCAGCATTTGAAATCCGATTTAATTCAGCTCCCTTTGAAGGTTGGCTGCAGCCTAGTCATTACTTGAGTCACAGCTGTAGACCACAGTTTTGCTACAAGTGAGGCTACCCAATTTGTAGCAGTGGTGAGACGGGAAAGTGTTGGTGTTTTCCTGAATTAATTGTTCTGTCTTTTCCAGCTAGTCATTTTCCTTTCATAAAGTCATTCCCTCTTGCCCTGATTTTAGTTGTGTCTTGAATCAAAATGAACACTTACTGAGAAGAGATCGTAAGCAGGTTCTGGTGGAGTCAGTGCAG